CATTCAACTAAAATGCATGCTGGAATTCCATTCAGGGGAAAATGATGTTAAAAGTGTTAAGATTGCAGGAGGACTAACGGTGATTCCATAAAGACTCTGAACTGGATTTGTGTGTATGTTGTGTGTGTGGATTCACTCCACTAACCAATGGAGCTAAACCTTGAGTTTGCACAAAAGGCCACCTGTGTATTTAGGCAATGCCACCTTCCCAGGGACGTGATGGCTCAGTGGCCAAGACACTGAGCTTGTCGATCAGAAAGGTTGGCAGTTCTAAACCCTAGCACTGTGTAACGGAGTGAGCTCCCATTACGTATCCCAGCTTCTGCCAACCTAGCCGTTCGAAATTCAAGTAGAAAAATAGAGACCACCTTTGCTGGGAAGGTAATAGCGTTCCTTCGGCGTTGAGTCATGCCGGCCACATGACCACGGAGACGTCTTCAGAGGGCGCTGGCTCTTCGGCTTTGAAACGGAGATGAGCACCGCCCCCTAGAGTCGGGAACGACTAGCACATACGTGCGAGGAAAAACCTTTTACCTTTCCAGGATGTAAAAAGGAAGAAAAACTTGAAATCCTGATTCTCCCACTTCCCCCTAGGGGGCGCTAGAGCTCAAGGTCTACAATCTCTCTTGCCTAGAGACATTATCAGTTGCTAATTCTTAACCTTGAAATATAAGCTAGTTTAAGTCACCCTCTGCTGGCAAGCCAGCATCCGATGAGCAAAGCAATTCTTAGCTTCTTGGCTTGGAAGGTGTCCTTCCTTTGCTGCTACGGGATGGTCAGCAGTTTGTGGGGAGAGCCAGGAGCAAACCAAGAATAAGCCAGAATATCCCAAATGGGCTATTTAACTTCGATGGGCAGCTATCAAATCATTGCAGTTAGGAAATCAATAATGTTGTGAATCAATGCTATGGATTGAGCACATAATTTTAAAGCCATTATACACCTCCAAACTGGTTATGTAAGCTTCCCCTCCTTTCCTTCCTTCTCTCTTTTCCTTCTCCTTTCTTCTATTTCTCCATCTCTTTTCTTTCTCCTTTTGTCTGCTCTTTTTCCCTTTCTTCTCCTCTCTTCTTCGCCTTTTCTTCTGCTCTTTCTCCTCTCTCCTTTGCTGCCTCCTTTCTTCTCTTCCTCCTCCCCCTCCTCCTGCTCTTTTTCTCCTCCTTTTTCTTCTCTCTTCTTCGCCTTTTCTTCTGCTCTTTCTCCTCTCTCCTTTGCTGCCTCCTTTCTTCTCTTCCTCCTCCCCCTCCTCCTGCTCTTTTTCTCCTCCTTTTTCTTCTCTCTTCTTCGCCTTTTCTTCTGCTCTTTCTCCTCTCTCCTTTGCTGCCTCCTTTCTTCTCTTCCTCCTCCCCCTCCTCCTGCTCTTTTTCTCCTTTTTCTTCTCTCTTCTTCGCCTTCTTTCTTCTGCTCTTTCTCCTCCTCTTCACCTCTTCCTCCACCTTCTGCTCTTTCTTCACCTCTTCCTCCGCCTTCTGCTCTTTCTCTTCTCCCCTTTTCTTCTGCTCTTTTTCCCATTCTTCTCTTTCTTCTCCTTTCTCTTTTCCTTCACTTCCTCCTTTCTTCTCTTCCTCCTCTCTTCAGCTTTTCTCTTCTCTCTTCTTCGCCTGCTTTCTCCTCCTCTTCCTCCTCCTTTCTTCTGCCTTTTCTCCTTTTTTCCTCCTCCTCTTCCTCCTGCTCTTTTTGTCCTTTCTCCTCTCTTCCTTTCTACTCCCCCCTCCTTTCCGCTCCTCCTCCTCCCCCCCCTCCAGCCTCTTTCTTTCTCGGTCCCTCCCCATCACCCTTTTTCTGTTGTCCCCTTTCCAGCTCAAGAGCTGTGCTTTCCCCTCCAGCCAAACATTCTTCCCGCCAACCCATTTGATCCGAGAAGGGCTCTCGGCTTCAGGTGAGTCCAGCGCTGAGATTCAGCATCTCGATTTTGATGGCAGGAAAGAAAAAAATCCTACTGTTCTGGGTTAGGGTGGTGGGGCCAACGATTTGAAGGATGTTTCCAGGTAGAGAAATCTTTCTTTGACGTTTTCATTCCTGGAATTCTGTCTGATAAACAGCTTGATGCTTTTGAGGGGGTTACCGAGAGACAAAGGATAAAGGTGTTTTTTAATATATATTTTTCCCTTGCCCCAGGTGATGAACTGATCAAAAATAAAGTAATAAAATCCTCCGATTTTCCTTTAGTTGAAAAAAAAGTTTATTTTTCTATTGGATACTAAAAAAGAGAGTTTCTAAGCGTACAAAAGAATTTTAAGTTTCTTTCGATGAACGTCATAGATGGCCGCAATTCATTTTCTTTCTCCTTCCCAACTAATGTAGAGAAGGAGAAATTAAGAAACGGAGTCAGGGAAATGATGTTATCTGAAGGCATCTGCAAAAAATGTAAACAATCAAGCCGTCTTTTTCACTTGAATTTTTAAAAGGAGATTAAAGGATCGCGTGAATTCATACTCTCTACTCCCATAGTTGTGGATTCGCGGAATAAGGTTGGTGAGAATTTATACCCTGCCCTGTTAATAATGGTTTGGAAGTTAGCAAAGGTTGTAACTCCAGCTGACATTTGAAGTTCGTTTACTACCCCACATTTAACAACAACAAACGTTTGCTGTGTTGTGTGAGCCTTGTCATCATTTTGCTGAAGCGTCTTTCAGGGGTTCGGGGACCGGACTAAACCATGATCAAACATGGTGATCGCACGACCCTGGGATTGCGCAACCATCATAAATACATGCCAGTTGCGCCAAGCATCCAAATTTGGATCACATGACCATGGGAATGCTGCCACGGGTAGCCTTGTGAAACCTGGTAATAAAAAGTCACTTTTCGGGGGGGGAGTGCTGCTGTAACTTTGGTCGTTAAATGAACGGTTCCAAGTTTAGTTTTTGGGGAAATGCAGTGGTGGAAATCAAAAACTTTGTCTCTTTGGAAGAAAAGAATTGAAGTTTAATGTAGAACAATAATGGCCTTTGTTGTTAGTTGCAAAGTCATGTCCAACCCATCGCGAACCCATGGACAACGTTCCTCCAGGCCTTCCTGTCCTCCATCATCCTCTGGAGTCCATTCAGGCTCATGCCGACTGCTTCGGTGACTCAATCCAGCCACCTCATTCTCTGTCGCCCCCTTCTTCTTTTGCCTTCCATCTTTCCCAGCATGAGGCTCTTCTCCAGGGAGTCCTTCCTTCTCATTAGGTGGCCAAAGTATTTGAGTTTCCTCTTCAGGATCTGGCCTTCTCAAGAGCAGTCAGGGTTGATCTCCTCTAGGACTGACCGGTTGGATTGCCTTGCAGTCCTCCTTCTTTTGCCCTCCATCGTTCCCAGCATGAGGCTCTTCTCCAGGGAGTCCTTCTTCCTTCTCATTAGGTGGCCAAAGTCTTTGAGTTTCCTCTTCAGGATCTGGCCTTCTAAAGAGCAGTCGGGGTGGATCTCCTCTAGGACTGACCGGTTGGATGGCCTTGCAGTCCAAGGGACTCAATGCAGGAGTCTTCTCCAGCACCATAGGCTCCAGAAGTATGTGGATCGAGAACTACCAAAAATACAGGCAGGATTTCGAAGAGGCAGAGGAACTAGAGATCAAATTGCCCAGATACGCTGAATCATGGAGAAAGCTAGGGGAATGGTCTTTAGCCGAGAATATTCAAGTCATAGGAAAGGAGAAACAAGGATAAAGTTTCTGTGGGTAAATTTTGGCCTCATTTGGATGTTGTACAAAACATTTTTTTCTCTAGTTTAGCTCCCCTCCTCCTCCTCCTCCCTCTATGAAAGGTAGGGTTTGTTAAACTGAGCTGCCAGGTAATTTCAAACCTTCCCGTAAATGAATCAAGGAAAGTCTCCCACAAACACAACTCTGGTCATTGTTAGGGAAACTGGACACGGAGACAAAGCAGGGACGTGCTGGGGAAATCCCCACGGAGCAGCTTGGCAAAGCAACCCAGGGGCTTTTAACGGGGGGGGGGGGCAGGAGAAGATCTAAAACCAGGCTGGTTCCCAGGATTCCGATCCTTATCACCAGTTGCTCAAAATGTTCCCATCACCCTCACTCCACGTTCTTCAGCCAGCTAAATACAAGCCAGCTATGTGCGGCAGCCGCCTAAAAAGTCAATGCAATCCTAAATTGCATTAACAGAGGGATACAATTAAGATCAAGTGAGGCACTAATACCACTCTATAAAACCTTAGTAAGGCCAGACCTGGAGTACTGCACCCGGTTTTGATTCCCATGCTATAAAAAAAGATGTTGAGACTCTGGAAAGAGTGCAGAGAAGAGTAACCAGGATGATTAAGGGACTGGAGGCTAAAACATATGAAGAACGGTTGCAGGAACTGGGTATGTCTAGTTTAATGAGAAGAAGGACCAGGGGAGACAGGAGAGCATCTTCCAATATTTGAGGGGCTGCCACAGAGAGGAGGAAGGGGTCAAGCTATTCTCCAAAGCACATAGAGTCCAGAGAAGGAACAATGGATGGAAACTGATCGAGGAGAGATTCAACTTGGAAATAAGGAGGAATTTCCTGACAGNATTGTTGGGGGCAATATGCTGACTCTGTAAACCGTTTAGAGAGGGCTGAAAGCCCTATGAAGCGGTATATAAGTCTAACTGCTATTGCTATTGCTATTCTCCCTACGGCCTCACCACCTTACCTCATGTTGTTTGCGCGGCAAGCAACCAGAGGAAACGGCGGGGACTGCCTGCGCATGCAGTTAAATATTTTCGGGGAGGGCTTATTTAAGCGCATGTGCTCAAAAGCCCAATTGGGCTTATTACCGGGGGAGGTCTTATTTTGGGGAAATGAGATATGTGTGGGCTCAATTGCAGTCACAAGTCAAGGACGATCCGTATAACTTTTTTTAGAGATGACTCCATCGATGTCTTAATTCTGGAGAAGGCTTTTCCTTCCTTCCTTTTGGTTTCTCCGCAGCGATCGGTCCCCTTCATTTTCCCCAACGTTGAAGAAAACACGGCCTCCCGTTTGCCCCCTTCCAAAATAAACTCACCTCTCCCCATCTTTAACCTTTCAGCTTGCTGGAAAGAGGTTCCATGTTTGTGTTTTCACCTGAACAATTTCAGAGACTGCTTAAAATCAACCCAGACTGGAAGTCGCGCCGACTTCTCGATTTAGGAGCTGGAGATGGTGAAGTCACCAAAGTCATGAGTCCCCACTTTGAGGAAACGTACGTGACTGAGTTGTCGGAGACCATGATTTGGCAGCTTCAAAAGAAGAAATACAGGTAGGGTCCTGAGGCGACAACCGTCTCACTCCGAAACAGATGTTTAGCAATTCTTCATTCCACCCTAGAGCATATTGATGGTCTTCTGTATTTTCCAAGGCTGATGTTAGAATATTGGGCTGTCCAAAAAGACAATTCCCTCATTCCTTACACTACCTAACCCTAAACTAGGTAAACAGAAAAAAGCAGAATTTTGCAGTTGAAGAACAAAAGAACAAATCCTTAGACTTAGTCCATGTATGTTAAAGTTTTGAGGTTGAGAAGCACCACTGTCCACCATGGTCTCTCCACCCTAGCCTCCACATCCGAGCCTCTCCACCCTGACCTCCCCATCTGAGTCTCTCCACCCTGACCTCCACATCTGAGTCTCTCCACCCTGGCCTCCACGTCTGATCCTCTCCACCCCGTCCTCCACGTCTGATCCTCTCCACCCTGGCCCCCACGTCTGAGTCTCTCCACCCTGACCTCCACATACAAGCCTCTCCACTCTGACCTCCACATCTGAGTCTCTCCACCCTGGCCTCCACATCTGAGTCTCTCCACCCTGATCCCCACATCTGAGTCTCTCCACCCCATCCTCCATGTCTGATCCTCCCCGCCCTGGCCCCCACATCTGAGCCTCTTCACCCTGGCTTCCACATCTGAGTCTCTCCACCCCATCCTTCACGTCTAATCCATTCCACCCTGGCCCCCACATCTCAGCCCCATATCTGTGCTGGTCTGTCGCTTCTCCGACCAGCTGGACTCCTTTGCCTGCTTCTTTCCTTATTAAATTTAAGCTTCCATTTGGCCAAAAGCTAAGGAGAATCAGTCGAATGGGGAGGACTCTGGCCTTGTCCTGTTGAACGTCAAGACCTCTCGCCAGCAAGGCCACTAGAGAGAGAGCGTTAGGTTGTTCTTGCATCATTCTCGGGTTGAGTGAGGAGTGAAGAATTACCCTTGACCAGGTGTCAGTGTTCCAAATATGATCCCGAATTAAATCAGAGTCCAAGGCAGAGCTTTCCTCAAAAGTTCCAATTTATTAAGAGAGACGTGTTGGCACATCTGTGGAAAACCCAAATCTGAAAGCTTCCTCGGCTTTCCCACCCAGTTGAAAGTTCGTGATCTTGCCCCCCACACCCACAAGTCCATCACATGGTCCAATCTTCCACTGCCACGCTGACATTTTCACCCTTCTAGTTCCGGTCAGGTGCAGAGACAAAGGATATCCTTGGGCTTCTAGAAAGGAATGCTTTATTTTGACAACAACATATCTTGTACCCCCACACT